TAGCTGAGCAGTTAAGGGGTGCTGAAACTGTGGACCTGTCATTGCAAGAAAATAATGAGAACCAGAACCTTTACAGCTTTAATTTTCAAGTGATTTAAAAATGATTGAGTCAATTTACTTGCTAGCTGAAAAAGATTAATTGAGGTTACTTCTGGACAGAACTTGTATGCCAAGTTTAGTCTTGGCATGATATTTTATTGCCATATTTTATAAGTTTAAAAAAGTAGAACTGTATGATGGAAATGGTGACTGACCACAGCAAAAGTTGAGCTGATGGGCACCTTTTTAGAAGAAAAGACCGTTGTGTGACAATTCACTGTGGTTCATGAATATTATGGAAACATCACTCCATGTTGTACAAGGAGAGATTTGAATTGGGAAGCCTATCTTGTGGAACCTTGAAATAATATGTTGTCTTACAATGATGGTTTCAGCATATGCAGTTTTCTGTCCAACTGCAAAGTTTTCTGTTACCGAGCACAGTTTGTAGACACAGCCACAAATCCAGATGCTGTAGACAGAGTCAAATTGTCTGTAAAAATGAGAAAAATAGTGTTCAACTCAAAAGAGGGCAATGCCAGAGACCAGTGGAGAAGCAAAGTAAAGCTTTCCACAGCACTAAACAGATGGGAAGTGTTTAACAAACAGTAAATAACCATGTGAAAGAGAAGATTAGGAATAACTTCTCTCTACAACAGATACTCTTCCTGAAAATCAGTGCAGGATTTTTTGTGCTGTGAGCTGTCTTACACTCCCATGTCAGTTTTTCAACACTGATTTCTGCGCAGTCTTTCTTGGAAGAAAGGAGATTCTTCTCATACACACAGCCAGCCAGTGAATGCAAATGTGGTTCTTATGATCTCTGACTTCAGTGAATGATTTAGGAGAGACTCCAACTGATATGGAGAAGAGCTGGATGAGACTCCTATTTGGCTTCATGTGCAGAATTCTCCAAAGAAATTCAAAGAATAATTTGAGGCATGACCAAAAACTCAGCCTTGGCAAATATAATTCTGTTATGCCTTAAATGTAATCATCAGTAACAGTAAAACTCAAGTCTAATGAAAAAGTAATATATTATCAAAACATTTAATTGGATGACTTCTGCACTACAGTAGCAAACCAGGGAGCTTCTCTTCATCCAGTTGAAAATTGGATGAGCCTATTAGATTTTTTTTTTTCACTTTTGTTTTTTTTAAAAAAAAAATTTAGGTATTGGTGCCAAAAATTTTATACCGAAAATATATTATCAGATGCTCTGTCTTCCTTGTGTCTTTTGTAGAAATTAAGATACTTGCTCTATCCAGAGCTCTTACCTTTCCTTGAGGAAGAAAAAAAAAATCCCTTTTGTTCAGAGAAGTGTGTCCTTGCTGAAATAGTCAACAAAACAAGGAGCTGTATTAAAGTTCCTTTGAGACTTTATTCGCTAGCCTTTGGTTCTGAAGAGCACATTTATCAGAGGTTTATGCATCGGGGTACTCTGCGTGTAAAGGGCTGTTTGAACTGACAGCACTTGATTTCTTTAATTTTTTTTTTACTTCTGTCTGTGAACTCTTTTAAGTACCTGAACCCTAAAGAACTATCTATCTATCTATCTGCCCAGCCCAGCAGCTTAGGAAGTCAGAGAGTTAAAACCCAATCTCAGTATTTTAGATTTTAACATCTTAGCAGAGGATGACTGACCTAGTAAGACCATTAGCCTCTGGACAGGTAGGGAATGGGTTGTATAATTTTTTGTGTATAGACAGAGTTAATAGCTACTTGTGCTTTTTATCCCAGAGTAAAGGAGTGGTTCATCATCAGCTGTTTTCACTGAATGTCCATGAAACGTAACTACCTATAGGGTGAAGTCAAGCAGGCAGCTGGTAAACAACATACAGCAAAGCAGGCAGGACGGGAGCAGAGCAAATTTCCATGTACATGATATGAGATGTCCTGAAATCTTTTATGTCTCTACAGGACTGTCTGAAACTTGACTCTTAATATTTTATGGGATTTTCCACCCACCCACACACACATACCCACACCCTCCCACTTTATTCCTTAGAAGGGTGGAGGCTGGAGGCAGCTGTGCCAGGATTATTGCACCTGCAATGGAAGGGAGCAGAGAGACTTTTGAAAATAGAAGCTTCAACACTGAGGTTGTCCCCTCTTTTTCAGGACATGAATTCTTGAAACATACTGCCACGTATATGTGAGTGATTCATGTGAACAGAGTATTTCAGGTTTCAGTCTGGTTTTACAGTAGAAAAAGCCAATTTTGGCAAGGCATCTTTTTCTGTCTTAAGGGTGAAATCTTGGAAGAGATTTGGCTCATTGCTGACCACTACCAAATCACCATGTGATACCTGTTTTTCAGCAAAGTTATGTGGTCCCACCGGCATTGCAGAGAGTGAAGAGGATGTGTCCATGTCAGACTTTCCATACACACCAGTCCATTGCTGTGCCATTGTTCCAAAGAAAAAATCTGCCCACCCTTTTGTGGACTGTTTGTTCTCATAGCAGGAAGGTCACAGTGCCAGCCAGAGATGGCCTTTGAACTCGGGCAGTGCCAAGCATGGAATTAGTGTTTTTTCAGCTTCAGTCTGTTCAGCTGGCAGGTTTTTTTAGATGTAGGATGGAGAAAATGAATGTTCTGCTTCCCACATCCCCGTTCTGTTGGCAAGCAAATGGATTAGTGCAGTGGGTACTTAGGAGCAGGAAACAAGGAAGCTGTGCCTGTATGGCATCTGTATCTTGGCTGTCCTGCTAGCGTGTGCTTAGAAGTGATGCTCAAAGCCTCCATGTCTTCAGCTTCTCTTCTGTCGTCATATGGTTCGATCAAGCACAGTTTGCCAGCTCTACGTGATAAAATAAAAAAGCTTAGTGGGTGAGTGAGGGCCATCCAAGTCTGTGAATGTGCTGGGCTCCAGAAGGCAGACAAGGAAAGTTTTGAATATGCTGTGCATTAAATTACACGCATGGGACTTAAAGTTTTGTTTGCAAGTGGATTGCCCTGTTTTTCAGTTGAAGTGAATGAAACAAATCCTTCATTCAGTTGTGGCTATGTGACCAGTGGCTGTGGTCCCATGATCTTACAAGGGTAACACGGAGGGTGGTATTTGGCTTTTTGTGTTGTTTATGAGAAAGAGGACTTTATGGCCTTAGAGGGCCATTCCTGCCCTTTGACACACTAGACAATACCAGAGATATAAGAAAAACTTAGTCTGCTCTCAAAAAATAGGTACTTTCAAATGATCATATTTTAAACATATGGTACATTTAATCTCTCTAACTTATTCCAAGAGAATTTTGTTTTGCTTTGGTCTCTAGGGCTGTTTCTGGGGGGGGGGAAATTCCCAAATATTGGGAGAAGCCAGCTATGTATAAAACAGTTCATAAAGCAACTCCTACACAAACACAGTGACCCAGTGGTCTCCCTGCTGCTGAGACACTCTGGGTGGATAGTACTGGAAGGAAAACTAGTGATAATGAGTTGCATTTTTTGAAATTACTTTGGTAATTATCATGGTGGTTTAAAGAGGTCAGTATGTGTTTTTGCCAAAATAAGGAAGCAGCTTTAGCCTAG